GCTGCAAGGATATTAGTTCAACTCTTCTGATGTTCCCTTTTTGTTGACTTTGTAGGGCTGGGACTTACCGAGGCAAAATGTTAGTGTGATAGAAAACCAGCTGATGGTGGTGTATCTGTGACCCATTTAATCTGTTCTGCTCGTAATTAACACCTCTGAATACAGAACTAAAATTCATGTACCTCGTAGATGGAGCTTTCCATGAGAAATACCTGTGAAGGAAGAGAAAGTGTCTCATTTTCAGACTTTTGCAAAATGCTTCTGGTTCATACCACGTGGCTTATCCTCAGTTCAGAGATGGATTTTGTCTATTTTTAATAGACATGTTGCTTTTTATAAGATGTTGATTATATGGTAAAATGGAAGAAGAAAAGGAAGTATAAGCAATGGCCTAAATGCCTTGAATATAATTTATTTGAAATAACAAGTACATTGTTAATTAAAAGGCTTATGTTTCATTTTGCAATGTTCACCTTGGGAAACTGTTTTCAAAGTACATTCACAGCATTCACTCTCAAGTATTACGGAGTTAAAGACAAATGTGAAGTTTTCTGATATTTGTTGCCGAGCTTGAGCCCTGAAGAACTCTATTTCCCTGGCACCTACTTCTTAAAGATATCAATTCAGAATAAATTTCTAGAAAGAAAAAAACCCCACAAGAGAATAAACTAAAACCAACAGCAGAATTTTAGAAGGAAATGTACAGAAAACAGTAAGAAAACAAATCTTTTTAAGGAGCTGGTTTTAGGTATGTTATGATTAAGGGCAGTGATTCCTCTGCTTGCCTGTTTGAGAATTATCAGCACTTTTTGGATTTTTGTAAAATAGGTTTTGTAGCATCCCCCCCCATACTTCCTTCACCAGTCAAGATTGAACTCTGCATATTTCCTCTTGGTTTTACTGGCCTTCTCAATTTAGCTTTAGATATCGGAGGTGATTCAGTTAATTTTCTTCATCTTGTTTTGTGTGTAGTTATATTACTTTGTTACTCTGTTACATTTAGGACAGAAGCCACTGAGAAAGGTGAGGGGAAGAGTCAGATGGGGACCAGGGATTACTATAAAATCAAAGCTGTAGACTCCTCTCTGAAAAGATAATGCAGCGTAACATGCTATTTTTTCTGAAGTTATATATAGGGAAAGCAATGTGTCTTATCTTTGTACCATGTCTTTTCTCTTGCTGTGAATTTTGTTCACTTGCATTTGTATTCATTTACTTGTATGTATAGTTTACTTTAAGGATGTGTGTCAAATGAAAGTAACTCAATGGGAATAACCTTATAACAGATAAATTCAGTGTTTAGCCCAGTTGTTTTTTCTTTGTTGTGTTTTAATAGCTCTTTGGTATTCTCATGGTCCCTGTTCTGCTGATTATTCAAGCCATTTCTTCTCTGTTTTTCAGTTACTGTGCTGAAGGAATACTACTAGCTCATTTTGAACATGATCTGTTTTTATGAGTAATTGTTGGCTGCAACTTATTACAGCCTACCCTGTAATAGGAAAGGTTAAGCAACTGCTACACATTCATCTCTGTGTGGTAAGTCCTGCTGGCACAGAAGTTGTTCTGTTAGTGAAAATGCAGGTTTGTGTGCGCAGCTTGTGTTGGCTGTTTTGGGGTCAGGTGTTTTGTTGTTGTTGTTCCAGCAGGAATAATTGCATCTGTGCTAAAGTTTTAGCTGTTACAAAATGGCTATAAAAATCAAACCTGTAATTCATGTAAAGCAGTAGCAAAAAGCCAGGATAGTACTCATCAAAGCTGCATGTTCTGTGTGGCAGTAGGAATAAATAACGAGGTGTAATTTATTCAGAATGGTTCAGATATGCTTGATCTTGCATTTTAGGTAGGAGATATAGATAGATGGCTTCTCAGAATCCCTTCCAGACCTGGGTTTTCTTAGTCATTTAACCTGTGAGAATTGTTTCAGGTTGCTTATGCTCTACTTGTGACTCTATTCTTCCAAGACTTGAAATGTACTTTTTGTTCTGCTTGGATCATGTCTGCTTCCCAAGAGCAAATAGGGATTCTTGCTAGTTTTGCTCCACAATTAAAATTATCTTCTCCCTTGGATAATTTTATCTCAAGAATGAGTTCACTGCTGTATAATTTTTTTAATATTAAACTTGAAGTCTTCCTTCCTATACCTATCTTTGCTTTCTCAGCAAAAGCTATGGTGCTTTCTCCTTTACTTTTTTAACAGACTTCCTTTTTACTTCCTGGCTAAAAATATTTGTTATAGAACCCGAGAGTACCTTTTGTCTGTTTTATTGATAATACCTATTGATACAAGTGTGTATGAATCTATCTACAAGTATGTAAGTATATAAAGTATACTTATATACAAGTATATAAATCCACCAACCTAGAATTCATGTATCCAGAAATAAACTTTTTGAATAGATCTCCTTTTGGGGCTCAGATGACTTTATTTGAAGTCTAGTTTTACCACCAAAGTAGAACTGTCTAGCTGAATTTACAGGAGAAAAAAGGGAAAAGACCCTCTAATGCTGCTCTGAGCCATATTGCAGGTAGGATTGTCTCACCTTGGCTACATGGGCAACTACCTGCTTGAAACTTGGGGCAGTTTAACTTCTTAATTTTAGCACTTACATGTGTACCAGGATAGCTACTGTGAATACACCCACCTTGGAGTATTTTCTACTTTTCAGTTAATTTCTACTATTTTTTCCCATCTATCTTTTTGCTTTAGAACAGTGCATAGTTTAATAAGTAAGACTTGTTTTTTTCCCCTCCAGGTTTTACTTCTTTATTTTGTTTTTACTGCCTTATTCTGAAGATGTTTCAGCTGTGTGCTCTGAGTTATGCCACATAATTGGCCACCTGTTTTTTGCTTATTACTACTAACACAGTACAGCTGATGAATCAGTTAATGGGTTCAGTGCAAAGTCAGCCTTACCTTACTTCACTGTGTACAGTTATTAAAATCAAGCTGGCTGACTTGTGCTAGACTTGTGCTAGAGCAGGTGAGGAGTTCTCATGTTGTAGCATTTCTAATCTAACCTTCATACCTAGCACCAGATCTTTATAAAAAGAAATGGTAAAAGGGATTACCATTCAGGCTGAAGGCTTGCAGCTCTCAAAATAATGCGCAGGTGTTTCAATCAGTACTGAAGTAGTTTTTTGGGCCTTTTACCTTGTAGAGGTTGTTTAGGTGTTAGCTCTTTTCTAGTATTGTATAATGAGATAACTGAATAGAATACCTCTGTAGAATAACTGCATTTTAAACAATGCAAAATACCTCTCCTTTCATTGCTCAGAGTAATTTCAAGTATGGAAGTGCCTCAATTTGGACTCAATTCTGTGGTATCTACTACTATTGTAGCAGCAGGAATGATATTAATTTGACTATGTTTCACTAATTAAAAACAGTACACTTTTTAGAGACTAATTAAAAGCAGTATGTTTTTTAGTGACTTGATGAAAGCTTTACACCTGTTTTGGTTGTCAAAAGTGTAAATGAAATTACTTTTCTGCTATAAGCTTGTTTATCTGTTAGCTGTAGAGAAAGGGGCACATCTTTTTGCAATGTGGTTCATTTTATAATCTGCTTCTCTCACATTTTTGAATGGGATTCTAGCACTGTAAAACAGAGACTGGATCTATAACATAGAGTAAAAATCACTGGTTGTAGAGAAACAACCCTGATGGTAAAAATTCATTCTGTCTGAGAGAAGGGAATAGTAGCTAATTAATCTAATTTCACTGAAGAAAACCAAACATAAATGTGGATGTTTGAAAACTGGGGATTTTTCCGTATTTATGTAATCCTTTCATTTGTCAGGTCTGCTCAGTGCTGGGGGAGATGTTGGCTGCTTTGCTGTGTGCATGCACTTTGAAAGCCCTCTCCTTATGCGATTTTTCCCAGCTGTTGGGACTGGAGGGTGTCTCTAGGCAGAGGGTGAGAAAGTGCTTACTGACATCAGGGCTTAAGTTTTCCTTTGATATGCGGCCTGGAGGCTGGTGTGGAGGGAAAGCTGAGGGCCAGATCGGTTTGCATCCTGCCTTCCAGTGGTGTTTTAGAGGCTGGTGAGGGAGGTGAAGAGACTTAACATTGACTATCTGAAACTGAATTAATGAGGGGTTTGGAAGATGGGGGTATGAAGGCTGCTGTAGTGATAGGTCAGGAGGTGATCTCAGTAAAGCAGGGATGTACTTGCAGATAAGACAAGTCTAGCATTTTGTATAAAGTGTAATCTAGGTCAGAGCAAAGCAGAAAGGTAAGGGTTCTATAGTCTGATGATAAGAAATCTTAATCCGCAGGTAAAAACTTAAAACGTGGAGTTAGTTTGGTAGAAAGGTGATGCTTTCTTAAGCATCTTCTTTTCTTTAATAAATTTATTATATAAAAGCTCTTATTGCCTTCAGGTAAGATCTTCATGAGCTAGTGTAGTCAGCTCTGCACTGACACATGAATTCCCAGTTGCTTCTCTAAAGAACTCCTATATAAAGATAGGTATCATATGAAAGATGGAGGTGAAGGGAATAAACCAACAAATTTAAATTAAAACCTTGTAAATAGCTGAATGCAGAATATTGTCAAAAAAAGTCAACACTAAGGTTCCTGGATATAACCATTCCATTGCTATTTGTTCACATATGTTGTATTAGTTCTCTGTGTAAACTGGAGTTCGCAGAATGTTGCTGCCTTGTCGTAACCAAAATGTGTGAAAAATACTTGGTTACCTTAAGTCTTGCTAAACAAGGTCAGTTTTGTCAGGAGGCAAACTGCTAGGCTGATGCAGCTCTTTAGGCCAAGGACTGATTTTTTTTTTTGGGTTGTGTGCCCACGCCCTGAGTGACTGAAAAGAAATGTGGAGTTGAGAGACAACTCTTCAAGAGATTTCTGTGCTGACTTTTACTATCCATCAAAGATGGTCAAAGATAAAAGAGAAAGTGGAAGAGCTCCCTGCTTTGACATCTTTAGCCTCTCACAAGTTTTATTCTCTGAATGGCTAATTGTGTTTTGTTTCTTTTCTTGCAAGATGGGCTGGTGATCCCATTGGTGGAACTCTCTGCAAAACAGGTTGCATTTCACATTCCATTTGAGGTGGTGGAGAAAGTTTATCCTCCAGTGCCTGAACAACTGCAACTTCGAATCGCCTTCTGGAGCTTCCCAGAAAATGAGGAGGATATCAGGTAACAAATACTATTTATTTTTCACTGATGCTTAAGAAAAGGTTCTGTTCACTTGAGGAGAATCATCGTCCTTTTAATATCCTGTATTGGTGCTTCTGTGGCTCTCACGTGCCTTTTGTAATACATGGATAGATTACTGTGTGATATGCTGTGATATGGGGCTTTATTCTGGGGTGAGCTGCCTTGCATATGTGTCAGGAAAACCACATAGATATCTAGGTTCTGTCTGTAAAAGATAGCAATATAAACGTACCCTTTAGTTTGACTAACAGTAGGCCAGCTTGTAGACTTTTGTCCTTATATTAGTCTTATGAAGTCGTCTTTCCAGTTTGAACTGGATGCTGGAGTCAGAGCTTTAACTGGGTTCAGAAATTTCCAAAGAGGGCTTGCTGAGTGTGCTGTGCAAGCCTTTTGTTCATGTAAATAGGAGAACCAAAATTTGCTGAATACACCAGTGATCAGAGTTGATATAGTCAGATGAATATATTTCTTATGTTTCCACATTATCTGTGTGACGATATAGTCAAAGATTTTCTGGTTTTAGATCTATTTCTAAGCTTTGCTGAAGCTTTTACATTATAGGAGGTCTACCCATGTAACTATGCATTCAGAATTTTGTTCCAAAGTAGTGATACTATACTCTTTTAGAAAGAGTCTTGTTGAAAGTTCTTGGGTATGTTTGTCTAAGGTTCAGGTATCAGATGGGGGAGGTAATGTCAGAAGTGCTGATGTAAGATCACCTGCTAAGGAATAGAGCAAGCCAACTGGTTGTATATGCTCATTGTTCTGATGAACACAGATATAAAGAAACCTCACAAGAGCACACAGATAATTAGTCTAGAAGGAGTTTTTACTGTGACATGCTAATGTTAGACCTTGAACTATACTTTACTATATAAAGACTTAGTTTTAGACTATGAATGAATTTGCATTTCAGAGCCTTAGGTGGAAATTCCTAAAACTGCTAGTGGCTATACACAAACTCAGTTAGAAAGAGACTAGCAATTTTTTATGGTTGAATTGTAATGTCAAAATAGCAGGAGAGATCTAGTCTTTGTATTCAAGATAACAAGGGTTTTTCAAAGCCATGTCAGCAAAGAGGATAATACTGTGAAGTTCCTCAAAACCAGAACGATCCTGACACATTCTGTTTATGTCTTGCAGGTTGTACTCATGCTTGGCGAATGGCAGTGCAGATGAGTTCCAGCGAGGGGAACAGCTCTTCCGGGTGAGGGCTGTCAAAGACCCTCTCCAGATAGGTAAGAACAGTGGAGCTTCATGTCTCTAGATACTTCAGAGTCCCAAAATCATATCTGCAATGGGACAACAGTGCTATGACCATGTCTCAAAAAAAGCTTTTCTGGCATCCTAGCTGAAGCTCCCTGCAAAATTTGTTCTTTCTAATGTCTTTAGCTAAATGCTGTGTTTTATTTTGGCCTCAGTCAGCTCAGCTGTGAAATGGACTAAAAGGTCAGAAATGTTCTGATCCTTAATCTGTTTTAGGATTTTGAAAAAAACTGTATAGGATACCTTTTTCTCTGTAATGCTTAAATTCCTCATTGCTAAAGAGAACTTGACTTTGTAGCTATCTGATCAGATGATCAATGCCTAAAGTGCCTGTATGGCACAGAGGAAGGTTTATTCTTGTAGCAAAAGAGTTTTATTAATAGTAGTTATTAATGTAGCATTTTGGCAGATGGAAATCCTTCTTGTTGGATAGTGGGTTTTATAGCTTCTCCTACTATCTTGTTCTTTTTATTCTTTTTGACTACAGAAGCTAATCTTATCTATACAAAGAGTTGGACTCTGGATTTTTTCATTAAATCCTTTGAAGCAAAGAAGAATATTTGTGATAGCTTTTTCAGTGACAGCTGTTTGACCAGAAGGTATTATGTAAAATAAAGGTACTACTGGTATGTTGAGGTGTCAGTCCCATACAGTTGTTTTTTTTCTGTGAGTGTAAGCTTCAGAATCAGAGTATTATTTGGCATGTGGGAAGTGAGCCTGTTGTAATAACAAAAATGATAATATAAAAAACTGTATAATGTTAAGGAGGAAATTTCTTATATTTTCATGTGATGGGGGATAGAGACTTCTGTGGGCTTGTTTAGTTATTAGAACCAGGAATACTTAACCCTCAGTGATGAGTGAAATTAATAAATTTAGGTAAAGAACCCTTAGCGAATAAAAGGGACAGGTACTATAGAGATTTGGAGAGAACGAAAAGAGAGAGAGTTTGCGATATGCAAACTGCAGGAGACTGATGAACTGTTATCTGAATATAGGGTAAAGCTTCCAAAAGGGTATTACCTGGTCCAGTGTCTATTGTAATAGCAATAGCAGGAATTTTTGGGAATAGAAGTGAAAATGGGAATGGAAGTGAATTATGTACAAAGAATAAGATTTCATACGTAAGTCAGTACTCACACATAAGTCAGATTGAGTTAAAACTACCTTGTTATAGTGTCAGTGAGCTGTCAGTAGGACCAGATAGTAATTTTGGAATGTCAACATTGATTTGGAAATTTTGCTAAATAGGATTAAACTGACTCTTGAGGGCATTTATAATCTTCCAATGTCATGACTGAAGTGCTGAGAGAAACCCCTAAAGGAATCTGCTAAACTTCAGGAGCCAAATGTTTGAGAGAGAAAATGAGTTAAAAAGCAGCTTGCTGAAATCTAGTAATTCCTGGGACTTATACAGTGGAAAAGAGCAAAGTATTTGATAGACAGTAAAAGACTGTGGTCAGCACTTGTTTCAGTAATACATTAAAAAGGTGATGAGGTGTAAAGCAATGTACATGAACAAAGGCTAGGAATATTAGTGCAAAATTTGTGGCTGGGGGAACAGAAGAGTAAGGAAGAAGAGATGGTGAGTGATACAAGGGGAAAACTTCTCAAGTGCACATAGAAACAACTGTGATCCTTGACAAAGGATTATGTGTGTGGAAGGAAGGGAAGAAACTTTGTATAAATAGTAATGTTGCCTTGCCCTTAGTAGAGGAACTGTATCTAATTGTGGGGATTTGTTTTCCATTAATAGCGGCCCAGAAATGGAGCAGCAGAGGTAGGGTGAATATATTTTCAGTTGTCCACTCCAAATGATTTTAAGGTGTGTAGTTGCAGTATTGAGTTTCATACACTGACAAATGGGAGAAGAAACACGGGAAATGAAGCAGCTCTTGAGCGGAGGATTGATTTGGAGAGGGATTGAGCAGTGCATTGTGATACTGTGTTCAGTTGGACAAATCTTGACTTGTGCTTTGTGCTCTTTTTGTCCCATTTCCCTTTGTAGATTTATTTTTTAACCATGCATAATCTTAGTCATTTTGTCCACATGCATATCCATATCCATAATTTCTGAACAGTAGTGCCTGTTCACTACATTCCAAACCCCCAATTTTTTACAGCTTTCTACTGTATATACACATGGGATTGGCTTTTGTAGATCTTCTCCCTACATTCTCTTTGTAGCTGTCGCATACCCACATCGTTGCATTGAAGACATTATCGCTGTTATTAAATGGGTGTGTTTAGATTTCAGGGACTTCTTTTCTGTCTTAGTTTCTTTTTAATAGCTGAGGAAGGCAGCAGCAGGTTCAGTTTGGATTCTAACTTGTCACCTCCTTCAACAGTGTCTCCACTTTTTAGAGGTTCTCCTGTCTTGGCTTAAAACAAACACCCGTCCAAAATTGCCTTGCTTTGTACTTCTGTATAAAAGCTTTTGTTCAGCTCTTGCTTTCCCCTTTTTTAAAAAAATTCCTTAACTAGGCAGAGATGTGTGTTTTCTGTTACTTTTGTAGGGGCATCAGAACTGTCCCTACAACAGTAACAAAATAGCAATGAAGAAAGGCATGTTGAATGAATTGATGTGGAACCTGGGGACATGATTTAGTGGTGAACGGTGCAGTGCCTGGTTAATGCTTAGGGTAGATGATCCTAGGGGTCTTTTCCAACATCAAAATTTTGTGATTCTTTAATTTTTCCTGGTAAAAGAAACCATTAATTATAATCCAGATTGCTTTCCTCACATAGTTTCCTGTACCATCCCACAAACAATTGTTCAGTACAGCGAGATTGCTGTTGCAAAAGAATTAACTGGGCAGTGCTGCTTGAATTAGCATTGTAAGTGTCAGATGTGTTTGTCAAGCTGCAGATTGATTTGGAGCTTGTAATATGTCGTGTTAAACTCCTTAGATTTTGTCTCTTTTTATAAGTGTTCTTCCCTTGTTGCATTACCAGTTAACTGTTTCATAAACAAAGAAAAATGTCATGGTAGGGGCTAGGCAAGAGCTTGTAGCAGGAATTGTCTTCTCTAACACCTTTTGTGTATTTTCTTTTTTGCAGTGAAACAGAATTGCTGTGATTCCAATTTGTGAAATGCTTAATATGCTTATGTGAAAGTCAGAGCATTACTCTGAGATGCTTTTGGTATAACAGAAGGACTAGCTGAACTGTTTGGGTTGTATTAACCAAATGTGGAGCATAAATTAGAACTGTATCTGGTAATAAGCAGCACAGTAATTTTGTGTGAATGCCTTCTTTTGTTTTGATTCTGTTCCAATTGCTAAAATGGCTGAAGAATTTGCGTGGCGTTATGTGCACTAATCAAAATAATCACTCACATTAGGGAGAGTATTTGAATTGTGAACAGAAAAGATAGGTTAAGCAAGGTAAGAGCAAATTTGTATTGGTATTGGGATTTTATTTTAATATATATTAAAATATATAAATATATGGGGATTATATTTTATATTATATTTATATTTTAAGAAGGAAATTATGCACATTATTTTAAATGAAATAAATTTAGTAGGTCAGATGCATACCTGAACACCATCATTTTTATGATCTCACGATATCATAATAAAATCTTAGTAGTGTGGATTTATAATCTACTTTGTCTTCATGATGGAGAAGCTATCATCTGTCCCAAGCCATATTTTTCCATTTAAGGTAGACTGTTGGACTCTAGTTTGGTTATGACTTCGATGCCCTGGTGCTTTCTGTGCTTCATTAAAACTGAATTCCAGATTAGCAAAAAGGTTCTGAGGCTGATACTCATTGCTGTAGAAGATGACTAACTGCTGAGAGGCACCTTCAGGAAAGGCAGAGATTCATGCTCCTGCTGGCCTTCTGATCGGTGTGTCCTTCTGGATGAGCAACATCTCCAGAGGAAGCTGCATTATGAGTACAACTCATATGCACTGTTCATGAGTTTACATGGAACTAAGCCTTGTTAAGGTCCTTTGTCATAATTTTTTTGCTTATGGTCACTGGTTAATGGGGCTAGATTAATTCAAGTGTTATTTCTAAAATTTCTCCTCTCCATTGTTTTTAGTCTAATCAAGAGGTTTTGCATGTCTTTCTGAGTTCATGATTTGTAAAAAAGGGATATTAACAAAATTGCGACGTGGTGCATAATTTATGACAAATGGGTAGTTTCTGAAGCCATACAGTGGAAGGAAATGTTCAGGTTAAGTGCTGCCTTCTTTAGTTGACTGTGAAATTGTGAAAATTGATTGACTTGGAAATAATTCTGAAGAAATCAGCTGGCCCATTCTGCACTGCTGCGAGTTAGCGCAGAAGTTATGCCTAAAATGTGTATAGACTAGCTTTGACCCTGTAAACAAAACCTGACACTTTCCAGGGATGATTTTATCCAGTTTTGCTTTTCTCTGTTAGATAATAAGAGAAATTAATTAATGTATGAAAAGCTGGTATGTTGGTAATAACACATTATGTTTCTCTGCTAATGTTTAGGCCATAGTTGGTTGGGAAGAAAAAAGTACTGGAGGCTCTAGATCCGTGTCCATCCTTATATGGATGTTGTTGCCAGACATATTGTTTAAGTGTTTAAGTAGCATATACCTGTATTTCTGTGCTGGCTGAACCTTTTCCCCAAATACCCAAAGAGTAACTTTGGACTTGTGAATTTCCACAGGCTTCCACCTGAGTGCCACTGTGGTGCCCCCACAGATGGTGCCCCCCAAGGGTGCGTACAACGTGGCGGTGATGTTTGACCGGTGCCGGATCACGTCGTGCAGCTGCACCTGCGGGGCCGGGGCCAAGTGGTGTGCTCACGTCGTGGCGCTCTGTCTCTTCCGCATCCACAATGTAGGCATCTAGCACAGCTCTGCTCTCCCCTGGGTGCCTTCTCCCTGTCTCTCCTCAGTACAGTTCTATGCAACACACACTCTCTTTTGGGTAATGGTTCTTGACGCTCCTTTGGTTACTGATTGTGCAAATGTCTCCGTGTGGTTGCGGTCTGCAGGCTGAATTGTCTGAGGCCCTAAACTCCAGACTGTCCTTTGGTAATGTGTAGATTCCTAAGGATGGATACTGAATGCTTTTTGGCCCCTTCCTGTTTCTCACTTAAATGCTAAAATCACTCATTATTTCTTCATCTCTGAAAAGAGTGGAAGGTCACCAATAGTTAGTCTTTTATTAAAAGTCTTTGTCAGTACAGGATTTAGAAGCTCATTTTTTATGTTGTTTGATCAGAGTGCAGAAGGCAAGTAATTTTGATTATGTTGGCCTTTATGTTCACCAGCCTGTTTTAACACTTACTGAGGTAACTGTCATTTTGACTTGTAGATTTCAAGAAATCAGGTTTATGTTTTTATTTGACTGCTTTTATTCTATATGGCCTTCCATAGAGCAAAAAGTAGGCATTTTGTATCATAACCAACCTAAGCTGAAAATACGTAGAATCAGTATGAAATACGCCAGTTGAGGGTTTGGTCTTGCATACAGTTGAATTTCCTCTGCTTTGGGGAGCTGAGAAACACAGAGGATTAAGTTTTGATGATTGAAAGGAACTGAAGATTTTCTGCTGTCACAGAACATTTTACAGCTAACATGCTTATGGTCAACTCCAGATCCTTAAATAAGTTCTAATAATCTGCTGAAGCTTGTTAGCATTTCAGAATGGACAAGTGTAATTGGCTTAAATTTATACTATTGTGAAATAATCAGAATACTGGTATACTTTCTGTACTTAGGACTGGAGAGCTGGCAAAAAAGTGGGTTCTGCTTTGAATTCTTAGTTTGAGTTTTAAAAGACGGGTATGGAGAGCGAGGCTAGAAAACAAATCGTGATTTTTATTATTTACACTCAGAAAGTTTGGACCCTGTGTAAGATAAAAAGCATTCTTTTGCCTCCAATCTTTTTTCCACTTAAAAGTGGTAGTGAAAGAATCTTTATTTGTATAAACTGACTTCTGACACTAGCAAGTTACAAGCCAAGGTATATTGCTCTATGTAGACAAGAAATATCAGAAGTGTCTTTATTATGAAACTGCTCTTGACTGTGTACAGGTTAAATTTTAAGCAGGACATTTTTGTTATGTAGCGTGAAAAAGGTTAAGAAGCTAGTGGTGAGGTTTTTTATAATCTAATTTGTTCTAAGATATGGAAAGAGATTTTAAGACTGAATTAAGAAACTCTAATGAGATAAATGAGATGGTTGTGGTTCTGTGAAACAGTCCCCCACAGAGCTGGTTCATTTGCCAGAAGCTTAAGGGATAATGTCCTATTTCAGAGGTTTGTTTGTGAAATCTCTGCCAGTATTTGTGCAATTGCTAGCAACAACAGATCTTAAGCACAGCTGTTACATCAGTTTCCTTGAAAAAAACCTCTTAAAACCAGTTTTTATAAAGTCTAGACAGCTTATTTGCATCTTATCTGGAACACACTACATAATTTCAGAGAAAAAAAAATCGGCTATCAAGACTAAGCATGGCATGTATCGGCATAGTAAGTGTTTGTGACACTTCATCAGTTTGCTGGACACAGCTTCATTAATGGTAGTTTGTGTCTCCTTTTCTTTTTTCAGGCATCTGCAGTGTGCTTACGAGCACCTGTTTCTGAGTCTTTGTCTCGGTTACAAAGAGACCAGTTGCAAAAATTTGCTCAGTACCTAATCAGCGAACTTCCACAACAGGTAAGTGGGGACCATGATCTGACTGACAACTTGTTAAATTCAATTACCTTTATTCTGGGTCAATTTATATGATGTCTTTTGTTGGAAAATAACCAGATATGATATTCAATCATGAGCTGCTGGGAAGGCATTCAGGTCTTGCTCTTTTCAGTTTTTCTATTCTATTTTTCTACAATAGTCTAATGCCAAGTAAAAAATTAGAAGTGTCTTAAAAGGAGAAAGAAGAGTGGTGGCTATTCATATCAGCATGAATATATGCTGAGCTTGTGAAAGTTCTAACACAGTAAATCAGTTCATGATTGTTGAATCATGAATCATGAAAGGTCAGCCCAAATCAGCTTGTTTCTTTTTTGTGTGTATGATTAGTTAAGTGGAGAGAATTACCCAGAGAAAGTACTGTATGTGCCTTAAGTGGGCACTTGCTAATGTGCCTAACTGGTAACCTTTTGACTTCCTCCAGTGTAGCTTCTTGGTGATTCATTAAAATCATTCAGTGTAATAGACATGACATTTTTTTAGTCAAAGGCAAAATCTGCTCTCTTATTCTTTAAATATCTATGTTGTTCAGGGTAAGGTCATTTATATCATCTGCCTAAAATGTTTGCACAAAATACACAAGAATACCCAAGTGATTGTGAAATGTCTGCTTTAAAGTTAAAAGGGCTTGGCAGCTTTTTTATGCTTGTTCAGCTAAAGGAGATTGAGAAAAACTGACCTGCGTGGGTGTCTGTCACATTTCAGCAGTGCATCTGTAACACACTCCTCGTAAGTAGGAGGTAGATTACTGGCAGCATGTGCCTAAAATTGATATTATGGTGCTGTGCTTAGGACACAAAGATATTCTATTGCTAAAACGTCCTATAAAAAATACTAACCTTCTTCTGAGAGGAAGTAGAGGAATTGTATAATGTGAAAGTGATATAAAAATACTGCTTTTCTGTTGCTGAGAGATGAGCACCAGCAGTGTGTGCTTATTGCTGCATTATGTCACAGGCAAAGCTTTTCTTCTCTCCTCAGACTAAGCTTTATGGCACATCTGGTGATTAACAGGGAAGGGCTTCGAAAGGCTAGTAGTGGTAGTAGTTGTTTCCTGAATGGCATGTGATTTGTTTGCACACGCTGTGTGTGCTCCTTTCTGCGGGGTTTATTTCTCCTTTGGTCACGTGTACCAGCTGTGCATCAATAACATCTGGATTAATTAATTATTACAATTTTGCTGGATAATCTGATGCATGCTGCCCAACACTAAAATTAAGGGATTATTGGGAAAGATGTCTTAACCTAAGTTGTGTAATTCCTTTGAAAAAGGCAAGACACACCTCAGATTCTTTCAACAGTCTTATTCCTGGTCTTCAAGATTTCTGGGTGGAGATAGATACACTAATTCCTTGGAACCCCATATTTTGACTACATGATATAGAATTAGAGTTGGCTGTACGTGTGTTCTATTTTATCCTTATTTCCAGTTTGTGAATGACATGGTACAATATTAAAATGCTGAATTACTTTCATGTGTAAGGGAATGATGGCCATAGAAATGCAGCTAGACATTTTTCACAATCTCTGTTGAAAGTGTTTTCTGTATCTATGAAAATCATGGAAAAGCAGCTGGAAGTCATTACTTAGTTCTTCATCCAAGCGCTATTTCCCCTTATGAAGCTCGTATTCCTATTCCAATTAAGCACGAATGTCGTAACAAAAAAGATGGAAGGAGAGTCACTGCAGGTCACTGGTGCTTCAGCCTTAAGGTGTGACACTGCTGAGACCTGTGAATTTTCTTAAAATATGTAGTAATGGAAAAAAGGTACAAAATAGCTTAGTGCTGAGTTTGTTTCTTTAGGTGACTGAAATGCAAACTATCCTTCTGAAGCTTTTTTTCTTTCTATCTGTTTGAGATGTATCTGTATTATTTGCAAATACAGGTGTACTGAATGTGCCTTTCTTTACAGTAAGAGTGATCTTTTTTTACATCTGCTGTTATACAGAGAGAGGTGGGGGATATCAGACTTTCTGTTGCAAGTCATTTCAATCCTGATTATGTAGGTTAATAATTTGCCTGTTCTGTTCATACATACTAAAGGCTAAATGGACCTACACTTTCAGCCCAGACTTAGTGAGAGGAAAAAATCTCTTTCTACTGTGTGTTTTTCTTGCAAAAATAGAATGTTAAGGGTATTATCTACGTAGGATTTTACAATCAGTGTGAACCTTCTCTGCTATGCTCTGAGCTAGTCCAGAAGCTATGATTAATTTAGTGCTGAAACTGCATTCATTTACTACTGAATCCCTTTGCTAACTGGATGGTAAATAAGCTAAAGTCTGCCCCAAAAATTATGTGTAGATGTGTTTTATAGTTTGCTCCCCTGCTCCCATTTGCTTGGGTTTTAGAGAAATTATTTAGGAACAAGAAGTAAAGATCTTTCAAAGTGCAGGATAATGGTGATCTTGGCAGCAGTGGCTTCCCTGAATTTCAAAATTAGTTACAGTATCACTTTCTGTGGGCTCCTATTCCTCAAGAAATGAGAAAGGAGCTAAAAAACTGTGATGCTTTTGTTTACTTCTTAGGGTGTGACTGCAGAAAGTGAGCCTTGCGTGAGCTGTGAGAGGTGTGACAGCTGGTAGTCATTGTGTGATCTTTAGCACCCTCTGTCGTGCTTTCTGAAAAACGTAGCTCTACATTCCGTACTCAAATTGCTGGAGTGTTTCAGTCACAGTCTTTGGCTGGGTGTAGCAGGATAGGAAGTACTGTGTATATTGAAAGTTTGCTGCATGTTTTCAGATTCTTCCAACGGCTCAGCGCTTGCTGGACGAGTTATTATCTTCCCAGTCTACTGCCATCAACACAGTATGTGGGGCCCCAGGTAACTTTAATAGATCTTATTTCAGCAATCTTTATCACAGATAGGAAGAGGATGATAATTCCATTGCTTCAGGTTTCTGATTTGTTAGCCTATAGCTTGGATTGAAGATGAAATCAAGGAAAAGAGATGAGTATTGGCATTTACATGTATATGGCATAACAACAGGCACCTCAGAGTGCTTGCAGAGGAAGGGAGCATCAGGCAATGCACTTTCTAGCAAAGTGTTTTTCTTTTTGATTTGGTATTAAATAGAGACTCCTGGAAATGTTAATTGGCGGGGACCTCTCCCAAGTTCCTGCTTAAAACTGGACTGTTTGCAAGACTAGGCTAGCTGTGACTTGGGGTCACCCAACTAACTGTTGGTTACCAGAGATGTTAGAACATTCCTATTTTAGTTCTGCATTACTCTTCTGGTCAAGAAGAAGCTGCTAATTTAATGTTGTTAATGTTGAAAGTAATTTAAGATAATTCTGAGTAGGGTGTTCAGCAATGGGTGAAATAACTTGGGTAGCACTGCCTGTGTACTCTGTGGTTGGGCACATAGAGTAAAATGTCTTCAAAGCTCGCAGACTGTAAATGTGTTTTTCTTTTGTAAGATCCCACTGCTGGACCTTCTGCCTCAGATCAAAGCACCTGGTACTTAGATGAATCTACTTTGAGTGATAACATAAAGAAAACCCTTCATAAATTCTGTGGACCCTCTCCTGTTGTTTTTAGGTAAGCTGTTTGCCATTTAAGGGAAAATGGGACATTCATGTGATCTGTAAATTCATTCGCCATATACTCTGTATGCCTTGGACTGAAGGATGCTCAGTTTCATGGTTACTCTTCTGGACTGTACTTCTGTGTAGCTTCTGCAGTGTTATTTCAGTAGAGCAGACTGTGTACACTTTTGCTCGTGTGGTGTTCTTGAGGTTGTTATGCATTCTGTCTTTTAGGTTACTCGTGTCTGTGCCATTGAGGGACAAATATTTCTGGATACAGATTATTATCAGGAGTTTGTATGACTCCTTGATTTAATTTTTTTCTCCTTATTCTTCTTCTTTATGTACAGTGATGTGAATTCAATGTATCTGTCTTCCACTGAGCCACCAGCTGCTGCTGAGTGGGCTTGTCTGCTGCGTCCCCTGCGAGGAAGAGAACCTGAAGGAATCTGGAACTTGCTTTCCATCGTGCGGGAAATGTTTAAGAGACGGGATAGCAATGCAGCTCCTTTGCTGGAGATTCTGACTGACCAGTGTCTCAACTATGAGCAGGTATCTCTTTACTTGGAGTGGGGGATGTTTTGAGGAGCCAAGCAGAGCCAGTAACTGGTGCTTTGTGTCTGTACAACCCATGGCTGAATACAGTTATTTTAGTAGCTTACGTGTGTTGTACGCATGTGCTTCTCCACACTAAAAGGATGCTACGATTTGCTCTTCTTCTGATTTAATGGTGTCCTAGTAATACTGTATGCCCCAAATAATTCATCTAACATGAGTATGTAGAGTCTGATTTCTTTTGTTCAACGTATTTGATTAGATTTCTTCCAAGTCAAGGCGATTTATTTTGCTGTTGTTTTGTTTCTGTTTTTTTTTTTTTAAACAAAATACGTCATGTATAAGCTGACATTTTGATAAAAACTAAATACATATGTTGTGATAGAATCTCAGATTCTTTTGTTATCTTTAGGGAAGATATATTTTGGTGGATTGAAGCAATACTTTTAAAATTTTTGTTAAAATAATATTAGAAAAAAAAATTCCTTTGACAGTTCAGGACTTTGATCTCAGTCTGTAATGTAAATTGTGGTGTAAGTTTCCTTATTGCTCCATCCCATACTTCGACTTTGAGCAAGTAAGGAAATGCTTCTTTTATCACATTTGTTCACTTTTTCTCTCCAAGTGTGAAGGCCTCTAGGAAGTGAACACCTTGTGAATGTTTTGTTCTTTGGGCTTGTGCCTTCTAACCAGAGGAATTTTGAGTCCCTTAGTTCTCACAAACCAATACTGCTTTAATGGTCATAGTTATTTTGGAGTCAAATGAAAACCTGATATTAACTACAGATCCTGTTTCCTTGGGATTATGAGATAAAGTGAGAGCAGGGGATGAGATGTTGGCCACAGCACAGCTCCATGGAACGTTTTCTTCTGCAGATAACCGGCTGGTGGTACAGCGTGCGAACATCTGCTTCACACAGCAGTGCTAGTGGGCACACAGGGCGCAGCAATGGCCAGTCAGAAGTAGCTGCTCATGCTTGTGCAAGCATGTGTGATGAGATGGTGGTTCTTTGGAGGCTGGCTGTCCTTGACCCAACTATTAGTCCACAGAGGTGAGCTCAAGAATCAGTTCCTGTCTCTCTTTAATATCTGTGATACTCAACTACACTAAAGACTTTCATCCTGTAGATTTCTTGCATTTGTATCATTACGTCAGTACCTGTTCAACCATTAGTCCTTCTGGACTATATGCTATGTAGCATTCAAAACACTATAATTACTTTAACTGCTATCACTGCATACTTTTAGCAACATCAAGTATCAGGACTAGCTTGTTTTCTTGTTTTCTTTCTTACACATGTGAGTGTAATTCTGCATTTTAGTGTCCCAGTGGAGAACATTTATTTGAATGATAGCACCAGCTATCAATTAATTTTAAAGGTTTCTATATTTAACCATTCAGCAGTTTAATGGACTTCTGTTTAGCCCAGAACATTCACTCTTGCATATTTCAAGATGAGCCAGTTCTTACTTTCTTTGCTCTTAGGGAATTTGTTCTTTGCAGTGTATCGGTAAACAGTGTCACCAGCGTATGATTTTCAGTCAGTGTTTTCAATTGTGTGAGAAAAAATTGTGTGGCTTCTGCAGATTTCTAAACCATATTGTGCTATGGTAAATCACTGCCATCTTTATTTAGCAGCATCTTTATTTAGCAGCAGTTGAATAGCAGAGGAGGTACTGAGAGCTCCTGTTGAGATACTGTGGTTGACATTGTAATAGTTTGTTTCGTACATCTTGTCTACCAAGTGTGGTGTGTAAAATGTATTGGATTAGTTTAATGTGCTATAAATTCTCAGAACAAATGAAAACAGGATGGTAATTTCAGAACAATTACACATTAACAGGATTTGCTTTCTCTGAATTGTGTAACATTAATAAAATGCCCTATGAAAGGCACATCAGCACACTAAAATGGATGTAGTTTCTGTCTTGTACAGTTAAATATGAAGTAGCTAAATATAGGAGTTGAAGACAAAAATGTAGGAAACTGCGAATGAGGCTTAAAATAAACACAAACATCAATCAAATCACATAGAAAAAGCATAAAGTATTTTGGCCATTAATAACGCATGAAGTTGTGCTGTGTATTCACATTTGAGTTATTTGATGCAGTTCAGATTTGCTCAGATCTCCTACTTGAGCTAATGAATAATTGAAATGCTCCTGCTTGATTACCTATTCTCTTGGTGTTTGAATAGTCTCCAAGGACCCTCTTCTACTTGTGCTTCCCAATCCTTAGAGTGAATCATAAGGAGACTTCACAGATTCTCATCCTCATGTTACTCTTCCAAACTAGTTCCTGCTTCTTTTTCCTTCTGAAAATTTTCCCCTTGATTAAGCTCTACCAGTATGTTTCCTGGTTAATTAATTTCTTGAGTGGACAAATATAAGTAGTCCATTTTGTTTAGTCCCTTTTGTCCTAATACGCTTTGCACCTAAATTGGTTCTCCTTAATTTTTGTTTTGTTTTCTTGTTGTTTCACTTTTTGAAGCATTGGGATTATACATCAGAAATGTGTGGCAGAAACAGAATGGCAGTTGGTTGAGACACCTGGTGAAATTTGTAGAAATGTCTTTTTTTCTTGTATAAGATCACCATTTAGACTGTTTTGCTCAAGTGCGTAGGCCCTATGTGAGATTTGGAGCTGGAAAGTGCAGAACTGTTTTGTTCTTCCCATAGTTAATATGGGGCATGGAACTAACTGTGTAACGTGAGTCTGTGTAGTCCTGCCAGCTTGCTGCTTCTTCCGAGTTATTTGAACATTAATTACGGCTGTCCCTATGGTTTGCAACAGCTTGTTCTCCTGAGGACAGCCTGTTAAAGCTTAAATGAAATTGTTGGCCTCTATATAGGCAGATTAGGTTGAAGAGGTAAATGCCTGGGAGTGAGATTAGGTGGTCCTATCTGTCATTGTGCTTCCCTGGGTAGGCTATTTAGGCTGTGCTTGTCAATGTCTTAACTGGGATTATTCACAGGGTTGTTTCACAGCTGCTGCAGACTATTTTACGAGTGTCTCAAAGGGCAGTTCCCCATGGTACTCACTCACCTGAGACTGCTAAGACTCAAATCACTAGCACCTTATTTAGGGGCAGACAAGCAAACAGGGAAGATAGTGTTTTATTTTCAACTTCATAGTTTCTATTGTGCTTTCATGTTGGTGGTGTTCACATTTTGTTTCTGGATCATGAACCTGTCTAGAACCCAGTTGTTAGTATACCTGTTCGCTTTTTTCAGCTTGTCTTTAGTGCTGTCTATGTTTAGCTTTAACTTAATTCAGCAGATGATGTTTCTGGCCAAAGCAAGGAAGTGTTCTGTGGGTTAAGTAGTAGTTTGTTGCAGGTGCTTTTTGTGTCTGCTTCTAACCTGTCCTCTTTTTTCTCTTAGGCGCAGGGATCTTTGCTCACAGCTCAGACAGTGGCAGCTGAAAGTCATAGATAATGTTAAGAGGGGTCAGCACAAGAAGTCCCTAGAAAAGCTCTTCCAAGGTTTCAAGCCAGCTGTAGAAGCCTGTTACTTTAGCTGGGAGGAAGCTTATCCCATTCCTGGGATTACATATAGCAGCACTGACAAGAAGAACTCATTCTGTTGGGTAAAGGCCATCCAGCAGAGGAGCTGCCGCTTGCAGTGTGCAGAAAGTGCCTGTGAGGCTGGTAGGACCCATAGCCAGGAGCTTGGGGGACCATGTCTGCAGCCCGGGGACAGGCTGCGGCCTTCTCCCCAGGAGCCGGCGGTTCGTCCCAAGGAACTTACTGGGAAGCGGAAAGTTGTCTCCGAAACGCCACAGAGGGTTCTGAGACGGCTCTCGGCAGAAGGGGATAAAGTTGTCTACAAGACTGCAGTGAGCAAAGCAAAGTTGCCAGTGAGCAAAGGCTTGACCAGTAAACATAGTGGGAAACGCCGTATGAGCAGTGAGGACAGCTCTCTGGAGCCGGACTTGGCAGAGATGAGCCTGGATGACAGCAGCTTAGCACTGGGGGCAGAAGCCAGCAATACCTTTAGTTTTACAGAAAGTCCACTGAGCAGGAGCTACAGGGATGCCTTTGAAGAGGATGCTGGAGTGTACTTCTCGGAGGGACCGGAGCCCACTGTCAGGAGCAGTTCCATGGCCAAGAAATCCCCCAAGGATCCTGTGGGGGAGATGGGTAGTGGTGATGATGACCTGCCTTCCGCGGATGAGAACTCTGGTGGCGTGAGTCTGAAGCCAGAGGAAATGGGAGAGAATGGTGCAGCAGGGGGAGAGGATGATGGAGAAGATGAAGATGATTACCAGGTGTACTATCTGAATCCACAAGAGGTAGCCAAGGAAGATGATGACAAAGCTGAAGGGGGAATTGACGAGGAGCAGGATATATTTGCTGGTATAAAGCCTCTGGAACAGGAGAACCGGATGGAGGTGAGCTGAATCTAGTTCAAAATGCTGTTTTGCAGTTTTATGTGTTATATAAATCATGGTCTCACCACCCTCATAGCTGTTATCCTGAACCTAGGATGTTGTTAAATCAAGTGCTTAATTACAATGTTGTGATAACCAACTGTATTATAAGGTATCTACAAGCCTAATGCAGTAGGTAGCATACATCTGTTTCCCACAAGCTTGATTCCCTATTTCTATGCTAACTGCAAGTGTGTCCCAGTTTTAGTTAGTCCCATCTCACACTCCAGGGTTTACAAACGTAGGAAAAACAGTGTGTGCTTTTCATCTAGTCTCACCCTTGGAAGTGGCAAGAATTATATGAAGTTAAAAATGAGGCTGAGATATGCTCAGCAAGAAAAAATTAAATCCAACCATTTAAGCAGAAGTTCTTTGGAAAGGAGAGGCAGTCTAAATAAACTGTGTCTCCTTCCTGTAATAACCACAAAACGTGTTTACAGGTTGCACCTATATAACCAAGCAGCCAAATGGCAATGCATGGAAATAGTGGTAGTTTGAGGTTTAGGTTTTTTTGAGCTATTCTCTGATCTCATAGCACTTGGAGAGAGGATAGGACTTAATCATGTAAGAAAAGGCTTTTTAGGGGAGTGCTTCAAGGAGTGGTGGTGAAAGACTAGGCAAGAATGACTCCAAGGAAATCTGCTGCTGAAGTTAGTCGTGAATTGTGCTTGCAGTCTTTGTGACAAGTGGTTTGAGTGGGCTTACTCCAGGCTGGGGTAGTGTGGTTTGAACATGACCATTTGTTTCTTCTTGCAGATCCTGTTTGCCTGTGCAGAGGCACTGTATGCACATGGATACAGTAGTGAGGCTTGCCGCTTGACTGTAGAGCTTGCTAGAGACCTACTGGCCAACCCTCCAGATCTCAAAGTGGAGCAGCCACCAGCTAAGGTAGAGAGATGGCAGCAACGATCAATAGTCTTGATTTTACTGAAGCTCTATGCAGGTGACCCTGTTTCTTGTGATTCTCTCCAAAACTTTAGCCTCCTATTTCATAGTGTACATCACTGGAAATGTTAGTAGTTTTGCTGTTTCAGATAAGAGGGTTGAACAGGAAATAAGCATAAAGTTCTGGAAACTCAGTTGTAGTGAAACTTAAGCAGTGTTTGTTGTACAGAAGGGTTCCCTTGGAAGGGACAGGCGTGTGGCATCTGCCTGCACAGCATCAGTCCAACAGGGACGTGTCTTGTCCACAGGCCAGCTCTTCCACTCTGTTGTGCTGGGGTGAAATAGGGGAGGCAATGGTGTTCAGTGGTAAGCACTGAAATTTGAGATTGCTCAGCAAAAGGAATAAAATCTAAATATATTTTATTCTTTCTCCTGTCTATAATTATTGCAAATGATAAGAGGACAAGCATAGAGTCATTTAGGATATTTAGGAAAGTGTCCAGTGACAAATTCTTCCTCAAACAGGGCAAAAAGAACAAGGTGTCAACCAGCAAGCAGACGTGGATGGCAACCAACACCTTGTCTAAAGCTGCTTTCTTGCTGACTGTCTTGAGTGAGCGGCTGGAGTACCACAACCTGGCATTCCGAATAGGAATGTTTGCTCTGGAGCTGCAGAGACCACCTGCCTCTACCAAGGCTCTGGAGGTAATAAAATATCTCAAAAAAACGGTATCCATAACCGTTGTTCTGTTGGAATGTGTTTGGTCATGTGGTTTAAATTGCAGCATTTAAATTTCAGAAGTTTGGTTGTGCTTTTGTTTTCTTAAAATGGTTTGCAGTGGAAGTAAATTAACTGAGTATACATCCCATTAGCACATGTTGATCTGCTAAAAAGATGTTTAGCAATATCACATCACCTGTTGTTACCCTCTCTGATAGGAAGCTCAGACATTATGTGCCAACAGGTCTTTGATTTCACATGAAGCTATAGGCCTGAAAATATTTAAATAAGTACAAAATCTTTTATTAATGTATTATTTTGATTAGAACACCCTACTTCTTATCTTAAATATTTTTCATTTTACTTCACTCATCTGGGGGAAGATAAAGTAATTTGTAAATATCCATATTTTTATTGGTGAAATTGTTTGAAAGTTATTCCTTAGGGTGAATTGTTGTGATTGTTATGTGTTTGAAAATTGTTGCTTTTGCTGATACCTCATTCACTGACAAGCAAGCATATGCACTGTGCAAGCACATTATTTTGGATGCTCCTTGGAATCCTCCTACCCTGAGGATTCCTGTTTTGAAAAAGAAGTGTCTTCTGTGTGATTTATAGCTACCTTGCTTTTCATCACTGCAGGGTTGTGCAGCTCCTTAGAGTGTGTGTCACTGCCAGTTATCCACCAACTACAGTTATTACACTAATTACCTGTACTTCTTATGGTCTGATAAGATGATTTTGAGTTTGGCAGTCACTTGCTACCTAAAAGAAAACTACTACTTTCACCAAGAATGGAGAGAATACAGACACAGAGTAGTGGAATGTCTTCATCCTGATGGCATGTGTGCTGCCACACCGTACCCATTCTTCTGCTAATCAGTCTCTGGTGTCTCAAATGGGTGTATCACTTAGCATCCTTTCTTTCTGCAGTTAGGAGTAACCACCTTTTCCACTGGCCTAATCCAGTCAGATACTTCTGCTGATGTTCTTATGAGAGCTGATGCATTTTTTTCTGTATGCAGCTGAAGAATGGTCATTTGAGTTAAAACAAATTTGTGTACAAAGCAAGACTGTTACTAGATTTGAAAACCTATTTTTGTTGTGGAGGGAATGGTAAAGGTGGCTAGCTGTGTAGAATTGCTATAATTTAATAAACTAATAAAAACTATTGCTGTACTTTATGCAGAAGGAAAAGAGGTCTGCTCCCTACAGGGGACTGTGCTGTTGACAGCTTTTTTTCTGTTTCTTTGTGAATACTACCAGGTGAAGCTGGCTTATCAGGAATCTGAGATTGCAGCCCTCTTGAAGAAGATTCCCTTGGGCACCAACGAGATGAACACTATTAGAGGAAGAGCTGAGGAACTGCGAGAAGGAACATTGTGTGATTACCGTCCTGTCCTGCCTCTGATGTTGGCAAGCTTTATATTTGATGTCCTGTGCACTCCAGGTACTGATTGCATTGGCCTGAGTGTGTGCAGGGCATATTCTGAGATGCCAGGTCTTGAGGGATTTTCAAAGCGAAACTGTCTTCTGTATAAGAATGAACAAAGTTTTATTCTTCACGTGATGTTGCTTGCACTTGCCTCTACCTTGCTTTAAAGATACTTTGTTCCCCAGTGGAACTGTTTCTCCTTCTGCCTACATTTGAAAACAACTGCACACTTAAGACATTTCAGCACTCTATGTGTGTTTGTAAAATAGTTATAAATGATTGACTTTTCTGCTTTTATGCTGGTTATATTCAGAGGAAGCTAATATAAATCTAGAATTTAAAACAGGCACAGCAGCCTGGGATTAGAAGACTGACTTGGCACTATACCTCATTTGGAGCCTTCTGAGCTTAGAGAGAAATGGAGTAAAAAAACCCATAAGGTGCTGTGGTCTTGAAACTGGTACGAGGCTAAGAATAGAACCAAAGCTCTGCAAATTCAGGAAGCTCTCAGAAAATGTATTTTGCTTTGAAGCCTTAGCTTTGAAAGATGAACACTAATTCTGTTGTCTTCTTTCAGTGGTTTCTCCTACAGGCTCCAGGCCCCCAAGCCGTAATTGGAATAATGAAATGCCTGGAGATGAAGAGCTTGGTTTTGAGGCAGCTGTTGCTGCTCTTGGTAAGAATCTTTTACAATAAAAGTCTGCCTTCATCCATATCCTGCATACTTTCCAATTTTGAATGGTGAGAGTTAGTAGTTCATTCCAGTTTGGTGCAGAAATAGAAATGTTTGCTGAGTTTGACAGAATCAGATGCAGGATTCCACATGCCAGGGTTGAGGTCTCCTTGTGAAGCTGTGAAAAAATGGAAGGAGAACACGGAAGGAGAACACAGAATGAGAACTCAGTGTTTAGGTAGTAACATGAATTTTAGCTTTCTGCTTGCTCTTTTGTCTTCAAATATGTATTGCCTGGACTTCAGTGGAAATGGACAGTTTCAGTCAACAAAAGATAATCATTTCTGAAGATATTAGACAATGGTAGTGAAAGAGAAGTACTCTCAAGCATTATCATATAATTCAGGATCTTAGCATAATACTGAATTTTTGCCTTACTTGCTTCACAACAAAGCAGTGATAATATAAGTGTTATGTTGACAGTACTGTATGTGTGTTTTAAAGCAGTACGTAAAAAGGAGTAAAATGGATTAGACAAGGCCTGTTCTGTTACCTCATTTCTGAAAGAAAGAAGATGAGGTTTTTTTATGGCGTTGGAATGTTGGTTTGTAGCATCTGCAGAAACCAAAAGGTTTGTTTCAAGAAAGGGTTGTAGGCTTGCCTGGACTCTTCCTGTGGCGTTTTAGTATCTGGTTGTTCTGACAGCTGTGGCAAGCTTAGTATTCTAAGGACAGACTGCAGCTTCTGTTTATTCATGGCCTATTTCTGAAGTTAACAGGAAAATAGGGGGAAAAAAAATCTTATTTTGCCTTTAACAGTGAGGTGAATAAAACAGCCCTGAGGTATAGACCGTACTTAGGATGTAGTGTAGTCCCATGAGCTCACTTGTCTCTTCATCCTCTCTTTTATGGGCTGCAGGTATGAAAACAACTGTCAGTGAAGCAGAACATCCTCTGTTGTGTGAGGGCACACGAAGGGAGAAAGGGGATCTGGCTCTAGCCCTGATGATTATGTACAAGGATGATCAGTCTAAGCTGAAGAAGGTGAGTTTCCCTTTAAAAGGGGAGAGAGAGAAAGAAAGCAAAACCATGTTTGGGTTTTGATGGATTTAGTAGTTTTGACAGTGAGTATAAGTTGCTGTGTCACATACTGATGTTTTACAAGCTATGTTGTGGTATTTATATTCATCCACTGCCGCAAAACCTGACTGTATGGAGTGCATTGCCCTGGGAGAGGCACTCTTTCCACAGGTTTCTTAAGATTGTCACTGCTTTCATTGCTAAGACAAGTCCACTCCTAAGGGTTTTTGGTGTGCAGTCTGTGTTTTTGCATATTGCTGCAGGGATATTGACTTGCAGAGCAGTATAGCTAGCAAAGCCTCTGTTTCTTAACCTCTCACCTCTTTGATATAGTAGTTCAGTATACCTGTGTCTTAATTTCCTATGCAAGAGAGAGAGTAAAGCACTGCCTGTCCACCCCAAAGGAAGAAAAAGTATGAAAAAATGCTGAAGCTTCAGAAAGGGTTTTATTAATCTTTTATGTTCAGAAATTCTCCTACACTGCAAGAACTACATTATTAGTGTCTTTCGTCTCCTAAAAGAGAAGCATTTTTGCTATACTCTCCTCCAGGGAATAACAAGAACACTGTGATATTAATCATCTGCGCATAAATGGTCTGTCAGACTTGTGGTGTTGATTAAATATGGAGAACAAACAGTAGAAGTGGACAAACCCTTAGAATGTGGTGATTAATTGTTCCCCAGTTACATAATAAATTACAACAAGGAAATATTACTGTAGGCCAGTATAAAGCAGTTTCTCTAGTGGCTTTGCCAGTTTCTCTGTAATGTATGACAGAATTTTCTGAAGGGTGAATATGGAATTTTTGTGACTTAAACAACAGTATCTGGCAGAACTAAAGTTAGAAATTCTGTCCTTGATATACTATTATTGCTTCTTTTTTTTTTTGTTTTTTGAGTTTTGGGTGCTTTTCAAGTAAAGAGAATGGCTGTTTCAAGTGAAAATGTGATATCACTAAGTCTTTGCTGCCTCAAGTAAAGCAGACCACATGGCTCTCAACTGTGGATTGCATTGTGGGTTCAGGAAGGTGATGCATATTTTCTAGAAAATAAGCATTTTCTTTTTTTTCTGACAAATGAAACTTGTTGTCCACAAGTTTCCACAACAACAAGAAGTTGATTTGTTATTTTCCCTCTTTGTCTTAGGCCTGGTCTCTTACTCTTCTGCTGAGTGCCTTTTTATTTTCTCTCCTTGTTGCTAAAGATTTTAGACAAACTCCTGGACAGAGAGAGTCAAACCCACAAACCACAGACGCTGAGTTCCTTCTACTCATCCAGCAAGCCTACAGTTGCAAGTCAAAAATCTCCTTCCAAACATGCTGCCCAGTCTGCTGCAGCTATCCAACAGCTTCCAGGGACTTCTGTCACTCAGCAAGCTACAGTAAGCACTGCAGTCCAGAGCAGTCCTGAGAACTTTGTGGAGAAGAGTACACAGGGTAAGAAGTGCTTTGTAACTGTGTTAAGTGTTTTTTAGCTGTGCTAAAATTTTCCATAGTTACAGCATATTTTCCAAATCTTGCATTAAATCATCTTGGCCTAGTGTCAGATAATCTTTATAACTGAAAGAAAACCAAGATAATCCTGCTCATAAATACCATTTATTTTATAAAAATCCTTTATCTTTTAATATTTGTGTCTTTTAAATGGGCATGTCTGGTTTTAGAGATACAGAAACAAGATGATGTTTACCTTGTCACTGTTCTGTTTGTGCAGAGAGCTCTCAGAGGTCCCCTTGTGAGCCAGCTGCAGAGGCCACTGTTTTGAAACAAGAGGGAAAGGTCCCCAGTCGGCTGGCCCTTGGAAACAGAGGCGGATACAATGGGAGATGCTGGGGTTCACCTGTCAGGCAGAAGAAGAAGCACACAGGTGGGAATGGACTAGCTCATACAGCATCTAGTGCTCTGTTAGTCTGCTGGGGTGTACCCAAGAAAGCCAGAGAGGAACTTTTTTATGAGGACATGTAGTGATATGAAAAAGGATAACTGCTTTAAACTGAAAGAGGAGAGATTTAGATTGGACATTAGGATGAAGTTCTTTATTGTTACACTCTGGACAGGTTGCACAGAGAAGAGAGGTGGTGGATGCCCCATCCCTGGGAGTGTTCAAGACCAGGTTGGATGGGGCTTTGAGCAACCTGTTCTATGACTCTGGGATTTTACTTGTCAGCCTTTCCTGTACAACAGAAGCAGCTGAGTGTCGCTGAGGTGTTTGACATGGACAGATAAGATTTGCTCCCTAAATTTCCTGCCCCTTTCTATATGGCAAGTTACCATGTGTGTCTTGCACCAGTTATGTTCAATGTGATGGATTAAATACCTGGAGCTGAATGACTGCTAACTCTGGCAGTGCAGCACTGTGCTCCTGGATATAGAAACAAATTCAGAGAAGCTGCTGCCTCTCTACACTTCTCTTGGGAAGGGTATAAGTTAGAAGCAGAGGATGTGACGGTTGTGCAGCATATATCTGAAGCATTTTCTTCCTATTCATATAATCTGTGGAACTTGACTTTGTATGTGTATTTGCTTCTTGTTGTTATACTTTGTTACAAAGCTTGGCAGGTGGAGTGAGGGGCTGTGATGGTGTGAAGGGGGAAATAAAGATACCTTCTTCTTTTGGACTCTTCTGCATTTTAATCCAAGAACTACAAAATGATACTAATGTCTATGACTAAACTGATTTGATTTAATATCTCTTAATTTACAGTGAATTCCTGTCAGCCCTAAGGCAGTCACTGACATAACTGATCTTACATGGTTTGTAGTTTATCTGTCTGCATTGCATTTACCAGACCTGGTGACATTTCTGTGTTGGTTCTGGTGTTGTAGGCATGGCTAGTATTGACAGCAGTGCTCCTGAAACCACCTCTGACAGTTCTCCAACGCTCAGTCGGCGTCCCCTACGTGGGGGCTGGGCAACAACATCCTGGGGCAGAGGACAGGACAGTGACAGCATCAGCAGTTCTTCAAGTGATTCACTAGGATCTTCCTCTTCCAGTGGCAGTAGGAGAGCCAGTGGGGGAGCCCGTGCAAAGACTGTGGAAGTTGGCAGGTAATGAATAATACTAATGCACAGAGGCAACCTCTAGACTTGATGTCGGAGACCTGGCATGTATACATTGGGAAATACTTTATGGGGAATAGTTGCTTTGTTTCTTCTGGACCCTAAAGACAGGAGTTCCAGCTGGCAAACTTGGGGTACTTGTCTGAAAGAACCCTCTGTGTTTCTTCTAGGTATAAAGGGAGGCGGCTGGAGAGCCATGCTCCTCATGTCCCAAACCAGCCCTCAGAGGCAGCTGCGCACTTCTACTTTGAATTGGCCAAGACAGTCCTTATCAAAGCAGGTGGAAACAGCAGTACCTCGATCTTCACCCACCCTTCCTCCAGTGGTGGGCACCAGGGACCACACCGCAACCTTCACCTCTGCGCCTTTGAGATTGGGCTGTATGCACTAGGGCTGCACAACTTCGTGTCTCCCAACTGGCTCTCTCGAACTTACTCCTCCCATGTCTCTTGGATCACAGGTTACAGCAAAGCTTTATTGGGAGGCTTACTTTTGGGCAGGAAGTGGGGTAGGGAGACAAGCTTGTTCTTGGAAACAGTGATGCTGATGTGCTGTAGGAGCCATCTAAGCATCTCACACAGCTGCAGTAGTTGCTTATCAGCAGTGGTGCTTACTTTGGCCTGGAAAGTTCTTGTAACCTGTTCCTTGTTTGTACTGCAACATGCTTCAGTCTAAAAAGCCCACTTCTCATAGGGACTGGTCTTTACATCTCCTTCAGAGGTATGCTGAAGAGACAGACATTTGTCAAGTCTGAACATGCTCTTTGGATGCATTCAGTTTTCACTTTGCTTGTCCTGATTGCACCCATACTTACTGCATATCCATATGGCTTCTAGAGGCCTAAAAACCACACCTTTGAAAATTCATGTTTTCCTGACATGCTGAAATAGACTGACAGTCCAGACTGGTTGTGGGTACTCCAATATAGTGAGTACTTTTTGCAATTTCCAATGCATTTTAGCTTAACTTAGGTAAATGGTGTCCTCACTCACCATTTGTTCATTGAGGGTTCTTGATTGTTCTGTACTTTGGGAGGAAGAACCTAAATTTGATGTGAACCTTAAGGAAAGCAACTGGCTTGTGTCACTTCTCCCTGAGGGAAGTGATGAGTGCTGTTGAGAGAAAGCTGTCTGTAACTGTGCTGGGCATACAGTGGTGTGAGAGTCTCTCTCACTCTTCCTCTTAGGGCAGGCCATGGAGATTGGTAGCGCAGCCTTGAACATCTTGGTGGAGTGTTGGGATGGACATCTAACTCCCCCAGAGGTGGCATCATTGGCAGACAGAGCTTCACGGGCCAGAGACTCCAACATGGTGCGGGCAGCTGCTGAACTGGCGCTCAGCTGCCTGCCTCATGCCCATGCCCTGAACCCAAACGAGATCCAGAGGGCTCTGGTGCAGTGTAAGGAACAGGTGAGCATCATATGGCAGCTGCTAGTGGAGGCTGATTTCTAGCATCAAGGATGTGTTGCTGTTACCTGTGGGGTTGGCGCCTTTGCTACTGCCCAGCCTTAATCCCAGTTTTCTGGATTTCTTATGTTTCATGAATAACACTGGTTATTCTGCTGCAACAGACATCTGGCTGTGTTAGTGTTACTCATTTTAGAGTGCCTTGTATTTCTCCCCTCTTGTAGTTTTTCCTTCTTGTGTTTCTCATTTTACATTCTTGACTTCTTTTGCTTTACTGCTCCCAGGACAACCTGATGCTGGAAAAGGCCTGCATGGCAGTAGAAGAGGCAGCCAAAGGAGGTGGTGTGTACCCAGAAGTCCTCTTTGAAGTAGCTCATCAGTGGTACTGGCTTTACGAACAGACTGTTGGTGGCACCCCAGCCCAGAGAGAAGGTGCCACCGGCTGCAGCGCCGGTGGTGCGCGGGCTGCGTCTGAAGCAGCGCGTGGCTTGGCAGACAGCCGGGTGACCTCAGAGCCAACCACGGTGACAGTGGCAGCTGCAGTAACTGCAGCAGCAACCGTCATGCCAGTGATCTCTGTGGGGTCAACCATGTACCAGCAGCACACGGTGGCAGGGCCAGCAATGGCACACACACACACGCAGGGTCTCCACCCTTACACCACCCTTCAGACTCACATCCCCTGTAATCCCCAGTATATCGGACACACTATCCAGCACATGCCGCGCCCAGCTGTCTTCCCGGTCCCTGGCTCGGCGTATCCACAGGTGAGTTTTGGCTGTTCCTTGTTCATTTACTGTGACCTTGTGTCGCTGCTTCCAGGGGGAGTATGTTGGAGTGGGGAGAGCATGGAATTCAGATCTGTCATGACTTGAGATCAAGCTTCTGCTCTCACTTGCCTGTTTGGTGATGCTTACTTTGGCCCTACAGCTCAGCATCTACACAATAAGGAGCCTTCTGTCGCTGCATTTAAAATCTCAAGGGAATATAAAATATAATACATCAGAGTTTTTAATTTCTGTTGCTCTGTAGATTTGTAGAAGGCACTGGACAGAAAGTTTGTCTTCTTGAGAGCTTGCAGGCTAAATAGAGACTACACTGGGAAAACAAAGGTTATTTCAACCTTTGCCTATTTTTGAAGGTCTCAAGGGTGTTTTTCTGCAAGCTGATTAAGTTTTTTAAAGGAGGAGGAGCAAGCAGATGTAGTGCTCATAGGGTGCAAGGTTCCTCCTTTGCTTCCTTCAGACTGGACTTTTCAAGCTCTGGGGCTTTTGTGGGGATGTGATGTTTTGAATTACTTCTAAGTGGTCAGGCGAAGTAGACATGACTGTTCCATACCTTCTGTTGTAGGGTGTCCATCCAGCATTCATAGGGGCGCAATACCCTTACTCAGTAACGGCACCGTCACTGGCAGCTACAGCAGTGTCCTTCCCTGGCGTGCCCGTCCCCTCCATGACGCAGATCGCGGTGCATCCCTACCACAGTGAGACGGGACTATCGCTGTCTTCCAATGTAGCGCGTAAGTCACAGTTCTGAGCTGGGCAGCAGAGGTTTCTCTACTGTCTCTTAGCTGTTCCCCAGTGAGGTCCTGCTCCTCATTCCTTACAGGTGGAATGAGGGTTCTTGCACTGAAAAGTTCTGGCCAAATGCATGCCATTTTAAAGGGGTACTGTGATTCCCAAGAGGCCTGATACAGCTAGCAGAGAGAAACTTCTGTTTAGCTGAATTTCCAATATGAGATTATTTTGGCCTCGAAACTTAATCATGTTTGGAGCCCCTGTGGCCTTTCTGACTTTTAACCTGTAAAAGCTTTATTCCTGCTCTCCTTTGGGCAAGGTGAGCATACATGATCTTGAGCAGACTCATGTAATTCTGTTGGGTCACATGAACAGAGTGCAGGAAGCAGGTAGACTTCTGCTACAGAAGCACTACTAAATGTCCTTCCCTGCCTGAAAGGATTGAAGTCAGCCAGTGTCCAAACATGGAACTATCAGAGATGACAGATGTTTTGTCAGTCATGTCAATGGCATTTGGAATGGTTGCTCATGTGTTGTGCTAGGGCTCAAGTGATGGTGAAAACCCATCAAGTAGTGTGTTAGCACTGGGACGACAGATGTTAACTGGATTGTGGATATGCTGTCATTGCCATGGAGCTTTGCACCAGTGGGTCATGCTTGACCCCGATCCCTGCTAACCCCTCATTGGAGAGGCTGTAATATTTCCCTGTTTCTACAGTATGTTGCAACTCACCAGGTGCTGGAAGACTGGTATGTGGAAAAATACTTAAGAGTTGTGTTGGCCTCCTTCATATTCAGAGTATCAGGAGAATCATTTCAGTTATTTTTTATCCTGTATTTTGATCCTAAAAAGCCATCACAAAAGCAAATAAAACAGTCTTGAAGGCCTTAGGATCTGATAGCTGCCAGCCTTAGTCACAGTCTGATGCTGTGACTTTTCTTTGGGAGAAACCATTTCTGTACTCCTCCAAAGAGTTATGAATCTTCCAGAAGTGCTAATTCATCCTAGAACACTTAAAATACTGAAAGGAGAAAACAACCCCACCCTTTCCAGTTGCCATTGTTTACAGCTTCTATAAACTTATATTCAGTTCTTACAATACTTTCTCACTGTTCCTGAAGTACAGAATCATGTGGTGATGCTTGGGCTCTGGCAATAATTTAGCTCATTCTTACAGGTTATTCTCCTTGGCCAGACTTCAAATGCCGTATGAATTTTGCCCCACTTTCTGCGTTGTTTGGCACCCTATGTCTCCTTGGTTGAGGAGGTCAGACAGATCTTTCCTTGGAGACACATTGTTCTCAAGCATTCAACTATTCACTAGCAAACATGGAGGGGGGAAAAAGGCTACTTAGAGCATTGCTCGAGCTGATGTAGTAGCATCACAGAGAAGCCGTGAAATAAGGGCAACAGTTTGCACACAGCTAATGGCATCTGTGCTCTGGAGTTCTCAAGCAAACCTTGCTTTTTACTCTTTGTACCTTCCTTGAGAGAGACAGATAAATTTGAGTCTTGTCAGAGTGCAGCTTAGTGACTCATTTTTAAGTGCTGTGGTACAAGTTTAGGTAGTACAATGCAATGGATTTGCATTTGAAACCTGTCATTTCCTTTGAGTTTGCTCATACTAGTTAAGTGTCTGAAGGTGACAACTTCTCAAGTCTCCTTGCTGTTTTTACTGTTGATACATGCTGCCAGTGTGTGCAGTGACTGTTCTTTCCAAGGAGGGATTGGAGACCAGCCTCCAGTAACAGCCTTCCTGAACGGAGTGACGGCTGTTGTACAGCTGAAATGGAAGAATCTCATTTTGTTGGACTTGATCTTTGAGTAACTTAATTCTGTTCCTGCTCAGTAGTTTTCTTAGCAGTTTCTCATCAGGTGTAGACATACACATGATTGTTTCCTTGGACAAGAAATCAGAATCAAATGTCTTATTTAATAATAGCAAAGGCCTTTGAATCAACACACACATTTACAAGTAAAACATGGCTTTTGTGCATGTTCACAAGATACTGCAGAAGGAATGGACACATGTAACTGACCCCGCTAGGCCCACCTTGCAAACAGAATAGAGCTATTCCTGGCCCATTGCATTTCAGTTGTAAGCCTGTGGGTTTTGGTTGCTGTATTGTTCTGTTTAGGGGACCACAACCTTACACTGGCAAGGGGCAGTCAGGTGAAGATGATGTCCCAAGTAAACCTTCTTTTAGGCTGCTGCTGGGTCCTAATGCTGCTGTTTTGCTCTCTTCAGTAGGCAGTGTCCATGCAGGATCAACGTTCCCAGCGATTCAGGGTGCTTCCTTGACAACTCTGTCCTCACAGCCCAACTCCCTTGTTACAGGGGGCTTTCCTGCCGAGGATGAGCAGCACAGTCAGCCTGTGAGCCCCCAGGGTCTGCACTACCTCCACTCTGCATACCGAGTTGGTAAGGACGGCCAAGTGGGTTTCTGTAGCCCCCGTGAGAGGGATTCAGGGAAAGGCTGCAGGTTTTCACTTTCAATTTGGCAATTTGCTACTGCACCTGTTGGGGGTGAATGCACCTGAGGGACATGGGAAAAGCAAGTTGATGATCAGATACGGAGTCTAAAAATGAAGGCAAAGCATTGTAAGATTGAACAATTGCTTTTCAGGACCATCAGAGCAGAAAGTAGAGCTAAATGGGTTAGAAATGGGAAGAGTCTTGCCTTTCAGCAAATGTACATAAAGGAGCCTGAATAGGGCTCCAACAATGTGACTCTGCAAGTTGTGACTATACGATAAAATGATATTTGGCTCCTGCTGCTCATGGATGGCAAGGGTGAGGGCATGCCTCTAGTTTAATTCTAGTTTAATACTATTTGAGTCTTCAGATGCACAAAGGGAAGTGCCCTGTGCCTCTCCAATTAATTTGGTGAAGATGGATGCAGAGGGAACTTGTATTTAGTGAAGAGGGGGTATGTAATTAGCATTCCTTTCCCAGTCACGTTGGTTATGAGAAAATAAAAGTCTCTGCCTGAATTGCCAAAGATTCTGATTGCCAAAGGGTATCAGTCTTGGGATTTGGGACTAAGCTTAGATAGCAGTAAGCTACTTGTATGTACTCATGGTCCAGCCCAGTGGATACTTGGTGTAGGAGAAGGAAGCCTCTAAAATGAGCAAAGAGAATCAGCAACAAAATGGAAGGAAAGCTTGACTTTTTTGCTGAAAGCTAGAATAGAGAGTACTTGTTAGCTAGAAAGGGTTGCAGATGTCATTTAAAATACTACAGTGGTACATGGCAAGCCATGAAGGATGTTTAATAGCCTGAATAAGAGGAGAGGCACAGGCAGGGAAGATGGTCTGGAAGATCAAGACATGGCACATATTGGTATTTGAATATTGTTTAAATGGGTGGATTTGTCTGAAGAACTGTAATGGCATAAGTGAAATGTTTGCAGATTGGCAATATGGCAGCTCAGTGATGGCCTGTTGTCTTTGCAGCAGAGCGGATTGGTTTGGGTTGCTTCTCTGTTGCAAAATTTAGATCAAAAGCTTTGCTTTCAGGACACCTCTTGTAGTGCAGCCTTTGGGGCTCTCTGCTTGACGCTGCTGTGGGTGCTTGAGTGTCTCTTTGCAGCTCTAGTAAATGATGGCTGTGCAGATTTCCCAGCCTGGAGCAGCAGATCCAGATGTTCTTGCAGATAGTTCCTGTGCTGGCAGGCTCCAAGATTCATTCCCCTTTAGTTTCTGTCTGGACTCTTTGCAGCTGTGGAATTTTCTGTGGAAGGGCAGGCCAGTCAGGTTTTGTTGCAGTGAATAAAATGCTAGACTAAGCCTTACCGGGCAGAAGTGCTGCTTGACTGTGGCTGCCCCTTTCTCACAGGGATGCTGGCTCTGGAGATGCTTGGCCGAAGAGCTCACAACGACCATCCCAACAACTTCTCCCGCAGCCCACCCTACACTGAGGATGTAAAATGGCTCCTTGGGTTAGCTGCAAAGTTAGGTAAGGCTCAGAGCAGTACTTAACAGAAATCCACTTGCTGGGATTTGGGCCGTGGTGGGAGAAAGATCTTGAAGGAGTGAAACTTCAAAGACTGTGCAAGCCTGATACTGATCCCATTCCTGAGAGCATTTCAGAAGATTCCTACTGCTCTTTCATCCACTCATTTGTCCCATTTTTGGGTTCTATAGGCATGCTGTTGAATTTTGAGGCACTGGATGAAGTACATGAGATTGGACAGGGTTCAGAGCTTGCATCTCTTCCATTCTATAATATCTATTCTTTCTTTTCCATTTCCACTATGTTGTAGGTATTCTTCTTTCTTATATATATGTATACCTTCTGTGAAGACTGTTTATAGCAATAGGTGCTCAAGCCACCTATTTTGGGGGGTTGTTTGTTTTTATCTCCATTTTGCTCTTGGATCTTTTTTGTCAGCTTTTTTAATCCTTTCATAGGCAGTAAGAAATCAAAATAACTTTTACAAACAGCCTGTTTAGTGGCACAGCTTCTGCTGCTCCTGCTGGCAGAGGTCCACTGTAGGAAGTGGTGGGGAGCTTGACCTATGTCTACAGCCTCCTTAGAGCCTGAGTGCTGAGCATCTAGGTGCTTACTTGATGGGCAGTCAGGAAACAATGGAGAAGGTACAGTGTTATCCTTGCCTTTCTAGTTACCTTGCATTACCTTTCTAGTTACCTTGCATAGTTACCTACCTAAAATGTTAGTTTTCTTTCACATCTCCTTTAAAGAAAGATGAATTTGGGAACACCAGTAACTGAGGTGTGGTACCTGGTCTCTCCTCAGACCTGATGGATATAGCAGAATCTTCTCTGTCCCCATGAGTTTGCTAGACTGTCTCCCCCAAGCCTGCTTGGATGATGCATTACACAGAAAAGGTGCTCCAGATCCAGGTTCTTGCTGTGGAATGTGGTTTCTTGTGTGTCTGTTATCTTAACACTGTTGTTCTGACTTCCTCGTGTGCAGGTGTAAACTATGTGCATCAGTTTTGCGTTGGTGCAGCCAAGGGGGTGCTGAGCCCTTTTGTGCTCCAGGAGATCATCATGGAAGCTCTACAGAGGCTCAACCCCGCGCATGTGCACAACCACCTGCGCACCCCAGCCTTCCACCAGCTGGTTCAGAGATGCCAGCAGGCTTATATGCAGGTAAAGTGTGGGTTATCTTCCTGCCTGTCAGAGCTGCCAGGCCATTGCCTGCCTTGCAGGTGCTGCCTATGTGTACATGTGCAGAGGGGAAGGTGCCTTAGGCACTAGGAGCTGAAGTGGTCCATTTCCTGATGTGTCCTTCTCCCTCAGCAGGGACTGGAACAGCTATCACTTGCCTGTATGGGGGCTGCATGCAAAGGAACTCATTGTACTGCTTCTGCCAAGGCCTTCCGCCCCGTGCTCTTCATGAAGGCTGGGGTGGTTGTGTGTCTTCCTCACTCCAAATGCTACATGTCGTGTACCTTTTAACTTTTGAACTTTCTTTGCTGTCCTTTCAAGCCCTCTGTCCCTAGCCCATTCTTTTTACTTTCCTTGTTGGGAGTAGTGTGTTTTCCCCTCCTCATGAAGCCCTGGCATGACTGTCTGGTGTGCCAGTGCTGACACCAACAGTGGAAATGGCTTGGTCAGCTACCAGTACAGATATCCCAGGCTTTGTTGAAAGCAGTGTTTCAGTGAGCCAGCTGGAATACCAAAGCTGCCTGTTCTTTTAAACAGTGCAATCAGGACACCTCGCATATACCTGCTTCTCTTGAATAAATAACCAAAGAGCAATTCTGTAGCCATATTGTCCAGCTTGGATTAGCTGTTCTGTCAACCTAGATGGTACTTTTGAGAATTGACACCTTCTTCATTTGACCTCCAAAGCTGCTGGTTTGGGGCCTTCTTTGAGAGGCTGATAGAAGTGACAGTGTTAGCCTAGAGGTATTTTGTAGCAATTTAGTGTAAACTTTACTCAGCCCATGTCCCTTAGCAAAGGCGGTGTGCAGTGACGAGGCTGGGTGTAGCCTGCAGAATGAAAGGTTGTGAGGGTTGGGTGCTGGTGGGGTAGAATGTTACCTGGCCCTTTAGTGCTGTACTACAGCTCAATTCGGTGCTGATGACATAAGAGGGCATTTCTGATGCTGTGTGCTGCATTTTGGTGCTCTGAGGGAGCACTGCCTGTGGGTGTGCTGTGGTGTAGGATACAGCACTGCTGCTTTTGAGATATTCTTCTTTGTCAGAGCTATGATCTCAGGACCACTGGTGGGTAACAGGACTATGTGACCTGCTGCCCTGGGAGCTCAGTCTTCTGAGTTTTACCAGCAGGAGGACAGTGAGCAAATGCCTTAAGGCTCTTTCCTGTTCCCATCCAGTACATCCATCATCGGCTGATCCATCTCACCCCAGCTGACTACGATGACTTTGTGAATGCCATCCGCAGCGCCAGAAGCGCCTTCTGCCTGACTCCCATGGGCATGATGCAGTTTAATGATATTCTCCAGAACCTAAAGCGCAGCAAGCAGACGAAGGAGCTGTGGCAAAGGGTCTCTCTGGAAATGACCACCTTCTCACCATGACATCGGGTGGAGCTGCACGGACACAACAACCCTTTGCCCAACATAGCTGTAGTTCCATTTACACCATCCTTCCTTCTGGTGTCTTTTTTATTTTAGTTTTAACTTGTTGGAAACCACTGATCTGATGTATTTATACCATGACATTCCTCTCCAGCACTGTTGCGTGTTGGCGCTCTGCTTTGCTCGCTCTTCCTCCTCCTTCTCAGTGGGCTGCAGGCTTTAGAAGCATCAGGTAATGAGAAGGAAGTTGAGCTGGCTGCCCTGTGGTGTAGTCACCGCTTTTTTCCCTGAGCCCCGGGAGGCTGTCCTGCGAGCAGTTTGCAGTGTGATTACGCACGTGTTAGAGGGGGTTGGGGATTCTGTCTTAAATATTTATTTTGGCATTTATAAATATGTAAACTTTTTTTTTTTTTATGGGCTTCTCTTATTCCACACACACCATGTTGGGGAGTGGCTGGAACTGCTGTGCACAGTGAGTGCTCCCTTCCATCCCTTTCAGCAACTCCTGGTGAGAGAAGCTGAGACTGGAGTAGCAGGGCCAGGGCCACCTCTGCAGCTTTCTGCAGCAGCTGAGGACAGAGGCTGGAGCTTGAGCTGCCTGGAGACTGCCAGAAATGCTTGGGCTCTTTCTCAGGAGTGTCCCTCACTGGGCACTGCTAGCTCATAGAATGTTTTGATCTTGGTTGTTACAAGTTGTACAATCCTGTTTCTTTTGGCCTGGGGTATTACTCTCCTGTAATCAGTTTCTTATCCCTGGTCTCTTCTTGTTTCCTGATTAAACACTTGTTTTCTTAGACTGACTCTCTCTTCTCTCTGCTATGATGTTGGCAGTCTGAAGGAGCTGGCCAGTGTGTCAGTGGGAGCTCCTGTGAGCCCTGGCTGCTGTGCTCTGGGGAGCAGCAATCCAGCACAAGCTGGATTTTTTTTTTTTGCTCTGGGGCCCAAAGGTTTCTTGCCTGGTACTGCTCTGAGAATGACGTGCCACTGCAGAGGCTGAGGTACGTGTCTGATGGGTGTTGGGAGAGTTGCGGGTAAACCTGGGATGTTCTGCCTACAGTTCTGTCAGTCACTGGGTTTCTTTCCTAGCCTTGATACTGTGTGATAATGCAGAGCCTTGTATTTCCAAAGTATTGTGCAGAACAGCAGGTGCTCCCACGTATTTAGACAGGCATTTGGTGGACTGTGAAAGATACCTAGTAGGGACAGAATTGCAGAAAATGAATTTTAGATAGCTTAAGTGTATAAGCATGTAAATGTCAGGGCTTTTAAAAGTGGAAGTTAGATGACTCATGGATGTTAAGAATCCAGTTTCTCAGTAATAGTGTATTTTGCTTCTTACTTGGGTCAGGCCACAGAGTATGACTGAGGTTCCTCTAGCTCTGATTGTGCAACAGTAACTATTTAAAGATCTCTTATAGCTCCTTGTATTCCTCCATAAGTTGTTTAGTTACCTGTTAACTAGAAATGCAGATGATCATGATAATGGGTCAAGTTTTGTGGTTTTTAAAATAAAGTCTGTGTTGATTATGAGCTGCCTGTTATTGGGCAAACCTTGCTCAATAACATTTGGATTTGACTGGAGAGCACAGTCTGATGTGTGAAGGTTTAGGTTCCTAGAACACTTTCTGTATTCTGTTTTTTGCATGTTCAGAACTGTGAAAGGAGCTTAGAGAAAAATGAGTTGTCTAATAAAGTCTAATCTTTTCCTTTCTAATGCTATAGAAGAAAATCTGTGGAAGAGCAAGGAGCATATGTTAGGAGAAAAGAAGCAGGAGGGAAAAGGGTAAAGACCCAAATGTTAAGTATGAGGAGCAGAAGTGACATATAGCATTAAAGATTTGGATTGAATAGGGAGATGAAATGTCAGAGCCTGATCTGTGATACTGATTGGAAAGATACACTTAGACCCTGAGCAAGCAAGTTTTCAGACCACTGTGTCTATTAATATGTTGCTGTTCCTGAGACACATCCCATGAAATATATCTAAGCAAGGACAGAAGAAAGTGAGGAAGGAGATGATTGTTTTTACTTGTCATGTGGCTGTGAGGTTATTGAGGTATTTTTCCTTTATAAGAGATGGCATTGAGCCCTGATGGCCCCAGAGGCATTGATTTCCTGTTAAAACAGAACAGTTATTACCCACTGCAGTCTTGTTAGTTTGGTCGGTATTCCAGGAGTGGGAAAAATACATAGGCTTAGAAATTCTGAAAAGACATTTCAGCAGAAGAGCTGTAAAAGAGGTTGCAGACAACTCAAATTTCCTTTGATTTTCAGTTAACACATGTGTTTTTTCACTTGGAGTAAATGTTCTCCAGGACTTGTCCAGAGACAGAGCCACTTCCTGTGTTGCTGGAAATGTTCACCTATTACCATCTTTCTTGCCCATGAAAATTTTCTTTTGAAGGCCCTTTCTGGGACTATGAGTTAGCAGAACTCATGTTCTTAGTGTTTGCCTTTGGATTTCAGTGTCTTTGCAGCCCATGAACAAGATCAGTTGGAGCTGTGATGTCCTGTAATGAAATGACGTGCCTGGCAACAGGTAGGGCTGGAATTAGCTGAAAAGCCTCCCTCTGTCTAATTTTGTTTACAGTCCTTACTAATTATCTGTGATTTGTATTTTGGTTTTTAGAGAGCCCATTCAGAATTAGCCTTCTGGAGAGTTGTCGAAACTAAAGTTTCACAATTTTGCTTGGGTTTGGTTTCTATCAAGCCTGGAACTGTGGTATTTTGGAGCACAATACAGCTTTTACTTTCCCAGCTTATTTAGCACCAGCTTGGCTACTGCTATGCAGTGCTCAATGCTCTGAACTGCCTTGCAAATCCCAGTCACTGGAACTGGGGTAAACATTGAACTACCCACGAAGTTCTTCACCACCTCTTGGTCAAAGTTGTCAGCTGTAACAACGTGGCATAAATTTAAAATAGCTTTCTATAAGAGGCAGAAAAGTTGTCGTTTTCTTACCTAGACATTAAGAGATGGGAAGGATATAAAAATGATTTTTTCAGGATGTAACTGGGAAGAGAATATGCCAAAAGAGAAATGTGTTCTCACTGTCTGCCACCACTGACTTTTTTACTGAGGTGCAGAAAATAAAAGAGCAAGTTGGGCCGTCAGGACTTTTCAGCATTTGCTTACCCATGACTGTTTTATGACTTTTCTTTCAAGCCCTTTTAAGCCATAGACTGAATGGCTTTCAACTACAGTTTATTTAAAATATTTTGTGTTTCTGTGCCTGAATTTAAGTGCCATTGGCATAATTATGGTGAAAACGGGGTCTTTTGGTTGGTGTTTTTTTTTTTAACACTGCCTCCCCCTCACTATCCCCTTGCCCCCAGAATAATTCAAATGTGGCTTTTGAACTCATTTCTGCTTCCTGTTTCCATTTTAAGGGTATTTGCACTTGGGGTAGAGTGGTAGAGGCACCCTCTCCCAAAGTAGCATTAATCTGTGGATGCTGGAAGTGCAGCTTGGAGCTGTTCTGGGTGAGGGTTTTCATTTGAGCTGAGGACTTGAGTGCTTTCCCTGAGGGCACCATGCAGACAAACCATGTGTGCTGGCAGGAGCTGCCATTACTGAGTAGTGTTCCTGCTTCTTGTAAAGACTGACTGCTCTGTAAACAAGTGACTCTTTATCTTGAGGGCATTGTCTACTCCCAGTTACAGTATTCATAACTACTTAGTGCTGCACAATTCCTTTTTTGCCATGAAGGGGATTGTGAGCTGTAAGGGGAAAATGGTGGAAATGCATTAAATCTAGTCCGTATCTGGTATACGTACATAGCGTGCATTGTAAACAGGGCCTGGCTCCCTGACATTTCCTTCCATGTCATACTTACATCACCTCATTTAAGTCAGCCAGGAACTTTTTCTCTGAGTCCTGAAAAGCACTTTATCCAGTGGAGATGAGAAAGGTGAGAAACCAAGTCTTGGAAGAAAAACACTTTTTAAAGCTAAAAATAGGTTATTTCTTTCTACATAGAATAGTGGAGATGAGTGTCAGGAATACTTTATGTAGCAAAACCAGCCTGCTCAGTGTTTCAGAGGTGAATATTACTTGGTTGGTTTGTTTTTTAACCCCCACAAACTTTTAAGAAAAGAAACCAAACAGATAAATGGAGAGTAGGTACAAATGCTGCATCCATGTTCTGGGATTCCTGTGTGATGCGATCCCTGGCTTGAGGCAGCCTGAAAACTTTCATGTGTTGGCTGCTACTGTGGTGGTGTCCTGTGTGCAGTTGCACTGTTAACCAGGATTCCCTCAGGATTCAGTAAGGGGACTGAGCAGATTTGATTAATTTGATGTGGTCAGACCTGTTTGTCATTCATTTTCTGGCTATATTACTACTGATACAGCAAAATGATCAGCAAGGAATCACAGGATTTTCTTTCTAACTGCATGTAGGGGCTGAAAAACAAAAGGATGACGTTGATCAAGTGACTTGTTAGATTCCTGTGTGTCATTCTGACTTCCAGGAGGTGCAGGCTTCTGTCAGGAATTTTTGTCTTTGCAGTGCTGTCATCAAATGAAAATTGCAACTTCTAGCGATCAGTGCTTTTTTTTTTTTTTCTAATCAGTTATACTGACTAGAAAGAGGCAGCAAACAACTTCTGTAGTATCTTCCTGATTGAATTCCTGAAGTGGTGTGCAAACACAAGTTCCCAAGTTCAAGAGAGTTTCCTGTTGTTGCTTTGCCAATTCTCACCTTTCATGCACCTGGCTATTAGAATCACTTGACCTTCTGGTCCCTGGGTCAATTTACTCCTTTTTTAAATGGGTCAGTTGCATGAGACTAAAGAAATACCTTTTAATACATTACCATAAAAACCCTTTAAGGTCCTGTGCTTATCATTTTCCTCATCTTAGAAGTGAACTGGTTACCATAAACTTCTGCTGCAAAGCAGTGAGGCAAGAAGGTGAGGTTTGTTTCTACTATGGAAGTGTGAAGGTCTGGAATGTTTTAGTACCAAATAGGTCAGTATCTAGTACAGTGTGTCTCACTAAAAAAGATGGGGTTTGTTGGCTTTTTGGTGTCACGGAACATGTGATATTACACAAGATTTTGCATCCATTTGCTGTCAGAGAGTGGTAGCAGATTTGCAAACAGCTCTTCATCAGGTACGGACATCCTGTATTTGGAGCTGACCCACAGCAGGTGCTTTGTTCATCATTAGCATAAGCAGTAAGAACTAGTGCAGTGCAGAAATTAAGCAACTAGGGGAGGGAAGGAACAGATAATGAGACTGCACATTGTCCTTCTGTGTCTTGTCTGCCTTGAGTGACAGACTATTACCAGTAAAGTAACACTGATACTTACTGAGCTCCTCCCAACATTTATTCTTCATACCATGTTTATTTTTACTGGGCATCTCCTCAAAGATGTGCCATAGTCTGAGGTAAGGCATGAAGAAATTGTGTGACAACCTATAATGAATTAAGAGCAGGAAAATGTTTGTGCTGCTCCCTTAATCATTGGTCCTGGGATCCTCCACCTCCTGTGGCAGCATGTGAAAACAGCTGCCTTGCTGCTGGCCAGGGTTATTTGTGAATTGTCGGGTGGAGGGAGAGCTGTACGACTGTTTCACAATGCTCTCACAACTGTGACTATTCAAACAATGTTTTCCTTCCAGTTTTTACTGTAAGGGCTTCTGTGCCAGGCACACCTGGACAGGAGGGACAGAGCCAAGCTCTGCTATAGCAGGCACAGCAGCTGGAAATCACTGCAGTAGCCAGGACTGGCCCCAAAGTCACCACTCTTGCAAACCTGTGAGAATGAGTCTCAAACTCCAGGCTGGCTG